ATTGATGGATGAGATTCTTCAAGAATTGAACCAGAAGTTATATGAATTGAATCGACTGGATTGTTAGTGGGTGAGATCTTCAGCGATTAGATTAAATTATCGTCTCTATAATTAAAAAAAAAATTATCAACCCACACTCTCGTATATACATACATAAACCACCTATTAGATTTACATGTATGCACTTTTTTATTTAATTTTTTTCTTCTGAAGCAGATTTGACAGTCGTTACTAACTTGGGAACGTAAGTTAGTATTGAGACATTATTTACGATTTTGACTTAAATTAAGCTAATGACTTAGATTTGCCATATTTTCACATTTTACTTTAGCAAATTAACCCAAACTTTTTTGCAGAATATTCACTAATCACATTGCATTAGTGTCTATACGATACACCGAATATAAAGCCCTTGAGAAGGTTAGGTCAATTTTGGCCTGTCTAAGCAAAATAAACAGGCCATTTCAATTAACAGCAAAAATGTTGGCAGATTTCTTGGTCTAAATAGATCTAAACTCAGGATTCCAAACTGCTTTTTTAACTGGATATGCTCCTGTTCGGTAGCTTTTTTCAGAGGCTATTGACACTAACATATTTCTGTGATTGCAGAGTAAACTTGCTCCTATTTTCTCGTCTTGTTTCAGAAAATGTGTTTAGTAACTCCATACTGTTTCCATTAAATCGAATTAGGTTTGGAATTCTCAACTTAGTGATATTATTAGGCTTATCAATTCCCATAAATAGTTCGAATGAGCTTAGGAGAGTCTCTCTAGGACAACACAATTGATCTTATAAGTTGCAGTATAGTATTGTTTCTTCTTATAATAGTAATTGGTGTAAAATGAAATATTAATAATATTTTTAAATGAAATTTTATTTCTATCTTCACAGTGGCGTATACAAAGAGGTATGGATGATTTCACCTCTAATATATTTGGAATAATTTTGCATTAGATATTAGATTTTACATTAGATTAGATTAAATTTGTATTTCTATTTGAACAAAACGTGTTTTTTAATATACAAAAAGGTTCATTCATAAATGGTAATATTAAATTCATATTATTAATAATATTATGAACAGTTAAGAAAAGATCTTGAATTGTAAGAATAAATTATATACTTTGCCAATGCACGATAAAAAAAATCTTAAATATTTATACTGCGTCAGCCATTAAGTTTAATGGATCTAAACTGATATTCTTTGTATCCTGTACCTTAGCTCCGTTATTTACTAAAGCATTGAATTGCGCTTGAGCTTCCTTTGTACCGCATAGCTCTCTTAAATCCTTAAAAACAAATAAATATAAGATAAATAAGATATAAGAAAATAATGTGTACTTACTTCAAATTGTTCTTTTAAAAATTCACCTGTTGGACCATCCGGTGGAATTTGTGGCTTACCCTCTAATGCATTAGCCAAGAACTTGTATGCTTTTCTTTAAAGATTATACATTAAAGATTATTATAGAGATTAAATAGGTATTAAAAATAAATACATATTTTATATATCTATAAATTAAACTTACTTTAAGTCAATACCATCCAATTCTTCTGGATCTGGATGCTGTACATGATCAGCAATTTCATGATATATTATGGCGAGTTCAAAATCGCTGTGATCAGAAATCTTCGATTTTTCAAATTTTTTAAGCCATAAGTTTGCATTGACAAAGTGTTCATCATCGCATTCGCTTGCTAACATCTTCTTTGCAATTTGCATTCGATTCTTCACATACTCTAACACAAAAGAACAACATGCAATTTAATGCTAATCTAAATATTCCTTAAAAATGATTTCTTCTTATACCTAATACTGAAGTTTCTGGAAGCTTCAAGTTGGAGCTTATTTCTCGAACTGTTTGCATAGATGTTCCCAATGATTTTAATTGTTTTAATATTTCAATCTTATTTTCGGCACTTAAGATTTCTCGTCTTTTGAACAAAGTTTTATTTGCAGCTTTAAATATGCTTTTCCTTTCATTGAGAGTTTTGCGAGAATTTTTCTTTAATGTACGTTTTACTACACGTCCTGTGTTTTTGTTTAACGGCATACCCAAATCTAAGTCATCAGTTTCTTGAAGGGTCTCCATGTTTTCCTTTGTAGGCGCTTCCGACACATTTTCTTCATGTGAATTAAGTTTGTCTTTGAGACTTTTTTTCGTGGTTTCAATAGATGCACTTGCTGTGCCCTGTATTTGTTTTGCCTGGACATTCGGTTGTGGACGTTTCACTACCCGTTTTGTGCTTTTTATTAACGGTATATCTGAAACTATGTCATCAGTTTCTGGAAGGATCTCTATGTTTTCCTTTGTAGGCACTTCCGATTTATTTTCTTCGTGAGAATTAAGATTTTCTTTGAGACTTTGTTTCTTGGTTTCAATAGATGCACTTGCTGTACCCCGTTGTTGCTTTGCCTGGACATTCGGTTGTGGACGTTTTACTACACGCCTTATACTTTTTATTAACGGTGTATTCGAATCTATGTCATCAGTTTTTTGAAGGGTCTCCATGTTTTCCTTTGTAGGCACTTCCGATTCATTTTCTTCATGTGAATCAAGATTTTCGATAAGGCTTTTTTTCGTGGTTTCAGTAGATGCATTTGCTGTGCCCTGTATTTGTTTTGCCTGGACATTCGGTTTTGGACGTTTCACCACACGTTTTGTGCTTTTTATTAACGGTGTATCTGAATCTATGTCATCAGTTTCTTGAAGAATTTTTATGTTTTGCTTTGTAGGCACTTCCGATTCATTTTCTTCGTGGGAATCAAGATTTATTTTGAGACTTTTTTTCGTGGTTTCAGTAGATGCACTTGCTGTGCCCTGTATTTGTTTTGCCTGGACATTCGGTCCTGGACGTTTTACTACACGCCTTGTGCTTTTTATTAAAGGTGTATCCAAATCAATGTGATCAGTTTCCGGAAGGGTTTCCATGTTATCTTTTGTGAGCACTTCCGATTCATTTTCTTCGTGGGAATCAAGATTTTTTCTGAGACTTTTTTTCGTGGTTTCAGTAGATGCACTTGCTGTGCCCTGTATTTGTTTTGCCTGGACATTCGGTCCTGGACGTTTTACTACACGCCTTGTGCTTTTTATTAAAGGTGTATCCAAATCAATGTGATCAGTTTCCGGAAGGGTTTCCATGTTATCTTTTGTGAGCACTTCCGATTCATTTTCTTCGTGGGAATCAAGATTTTTTCTGAGACTTTTTTTCGTGGTTTCAGTAGATGCACTTGCTGTGCCCTGTATTTGTTTTGCCTGGACATTCGCTTTTCGACGTGCTACTACACGTCTTGTGCATTTTATTAACAGTGTATTCGAATCTATGTGATTAGTTTCTTGAAGGGTTTCCATGTTTTCTTTTGTAGGCACTTCCGATTCATTTTCTTCGTGGGAATCAAGATTTATTTTGAGACTTTTTTTCGTGGTTTCAGTAGATGCACTTGCTGTGCCCTGTATTTGTTTTGCCTGGACATTCGGTCCTGGACGTTTCATTACACGTCTTGTGCTTTTTATTAACGGTGTATCTGAATCTATGTCATCAGTTTCTTGAAGAATTTCTATGTTTTCCTTTGTAAGCACTCCCAATTTATTTTCTTCGTGTGAATTAGGATTTTCTTTGAGACTTTGTTTCGTGGTTTCATTAGATACGCTTGCTGTGACCCGTTGTTGTTTTACCTGGACTTTCGGTTTTGGACGTTTTACTACACGCCTTGTGCTTTTTATTAACGGTGTATCTGAATCTATGTCATCAGTTTCTTGAAGAATTTCTATGTTTTCCTTTGTAAGCACTCCCAATTTATTTTCTTCGTGTGAATTAGGATTTTCTTTGAGACTTTGTTTCGTGGTTTCATTAGATACGCTTGCTGTGACCCGTTGTTGTTTTACCTGGACTTTCGGTTTTGGACGTTTTACTACACGCCTTGTGCTTTTTATTAACGGTGTATCTGAATCTATGTCATCAGTTTCTTGAAGAATTTCTATGTTTTCCTTTGTAGGCACTTCCGATTCATTTTCTTCATGTGAATCAAGATTTTCTATAAGACTTTTTTTCGTGGTTTCATTAGATGCACTTGCTGTACCCCGTTGTTGTTTTGTCCAGACATATGGTTTTAGAGATTTCACTACACGTCTTGTGCTTTTTATTGCCGGGATTTCCAAATTTATCTGATTAATTTCTTGAAGGGTCGCCATGTTTTCTTTTGTAAACACTTCCGATTCATTTTCTTCGTGTGAATCAAGATTTTCTTTGAGACTTTGTTTCGTGGTTTCAGTAGATGCATTTGCTGGACCCCATTGTTGTTCTGACTGGAAATTCAATTTTGGAAGTTTTAATACACATCTTTTGCATTTTCTTAGCAGCATATCCGAATTTAAGATATCAGTTTTTTGAAGAATTTCTATGTTTTGCTTTTTGGGCACTTCCGACACATTTTCTTCATGTGAGTCAAGATTTTCTTTAAGATTTTCATTCTTGGTTTTATTAGATGCACTTGTTGCACCCCGTTTTTGGTTTGCCTGCACATTGGGTTTGGAATTTTTCTTGCGCATAGTTATAATGGATGCACTTCTTGTTATTTTTAATATTGGCCCCCTTTTGCGATTTTGACTGTGGCGTGCAATTTTATATGATGTGTTACGAGTACGCATACCAGTCTTTCCTATTGGAACATCTGTTTTGGAATTATCAGAGATCCTAGTTATCTTGTTTTTGGTTACACTTGGTGTTTCTATTTCAGACATTATTGTACACTGTTTTACCGCTTACATTTAATGTACTTCACCAATATCAATCAAAGAAATGGTATCCACAAGTAGACAGGACAGTGCGTTTCAGAGTTACCAAATTTTTCTATGAAGAATAATGTAATAGATTGTAATTTTATTTTCATAAATATATAAATTCACAATTGATTTTTCAAAGAAATTTCTTTCACGTTGAACAACCTTTATATTAATTATTTTCTTAATTATTATTATTAATTCTTTACTTAACCAATTTTTTAATCTATGGCTATTCTGTAAGTTACAATTGGTCGTTCAGTGATACCTTTTAGCACTTATGTAAAAAAAGTTATTAAAGAATTACTTAATATAAAGTTAATAATACATAAATGGTATAACATTAAATTAAAGTAAAATATACTTCCTCGAGTTATCAGAAGATATTAGTAGTAATATTGTATTATTAAAAACAAATCACATATATATGTATGATATATGATTTATATTAATTCAATAAATATTTAAATATAATAGTACATTCAGACTATCTCATTAAGGTTCTTGCTCATTTATAATAATGAGTGAACGTTTACATTATGAGCTAATTTATGCAGCTGATAAAACTTTTATAAACTTCATTTGATAATATATCAGACAAAAAAATTAAATATATAATTGATTTTTTAAATCACTTAATATAAATTTTATATATCCATTACATACTCAATTAAGAAAAACAAAGATATTATTAAATACTTACTTCCTTAGTGCTTTTGTTTACAGCTCAGCTGTTATTTGTTTACATTTTACATATAAAACATATGACATATCATATTTTGGTAATTTCTCTTGTGAAAAATTTATTAAAGGTTGCATTCGACATTTTACACTGATTTATTGATAATGAACTTATTTTATTTTACCAGAACAATATGATCTATCCAACGTGGTAAAACGAGAGCGTTTCTACTTATTTGGTAGAAACGAATTGATCAATTCACGAAGAAAACTTTCAGAAGAACACTAAACGGTCCCTCAAAACAAGTGTGTTCAATGTATCACATTATTGTATGGCTTTTGTGAGCGCGTCGGTATAGACTGCTGGGACCTGTAAGCAGATAACAGGGTGCTGATGGATTGGACTGTGGTCTGATTATATTTAATAGAGCAGCCAGAGACAGTTGCTTCATTGTGGATTGGGTGCTGTATTAGCCTGTAGTTAAGAATTCCTGATGCCTCATCTAATTTTTCTTTTATTTGGCTTGCCCATTTTAAGACAGTTATCCACTTTAAAATTTGCAATTCTAATAATTGTTTTTTAAATTAATAATATAAACTTTTTATAATCAATATTCAATTAAGTGACAAAAAATATGCATAGAAATTTAGATTATACAATTTTATTTAAAATAATAAATAAATTAATTTACTTATCTTAACCTCGTTTGACTATTGTTAAGCTATATTAAAATCAATATAGGAAATTGTATTATATAAAAAGTTAGAGGTATTTTAAAAATTACGGATTATATTTTATATTATACTTATTCAAATAAAAAGTAATTTATTCAATATTAAAAATCATAAATCATATATTTATATATGTCCTTCTATGCTTGGGATGTAATTTAAGGGATCAAGACTTATCTTAGATCTCTTATTTGTACCTTCTTGCTGATGTTTATTTCCAAGCATTAATTTTATATTATTAGTTTGTATTTGAGCTTCCTCTTCAACAGAAGTTTCTCCTAATTTCTAAAAAAGAAATATATATGTTAATATATGATTGCTTTATGATTAATGTATACTTGCATTTAATTGTTGCTTTAGAAATTCACTTGTTGGACCATCCGGTGGAATTTGAGGATTACCCTCTAATGCATTAGCCAAAAACTTGTATGCTTTTCTTTAAAGATTATAGTTTGTGTTAAAAAATTATTGTTTATATTAAGAACTAAGACTTACTTTAAGTCAATCCCATCCAATTCTGCTGGGTCGGGATGCTCTTCGGTATCAGCAATATTATTATATAGATACGCAAGTTCGAAATCGGTGTGACTAGAAACCTGATAGTTTTCATATGTTTTAATCCACAAGTTTGCGTTGATGAAAGATTCATTTTTGCATTCTTCTGCCGCTTTTCTCTGTCCAATTTGCATTTGCTGCTTTACATATTCTAATAATAAAATGGAAAATATGTAGTAAATTTTTATATAAATAATATAAAGAATATTATATGTTGTTATACCTAAAACTAAAGATTCTGGCAGCTTGAATTTGGCAATTACATCCCGGACTGTTTTCATTGTCGTTCCATGTTCTTTTAAATATTGTAATATTTTTATTTTATTTTCAACAGTTAAATTCTTTTTCTTTCGACCTCTTTGTGAAGTTTTTTTAGTATTTGCTGCTATTAAATTATTTTTTTGGTTCTTTTTACATTTTGATAAATCCGACATCTCCGTGCCAACATCAGAATCATTACTGTCGGAGTTATTACTATTAGCATCTTCTTCTTCTATGATGAAATCAAACTCGTCAGATTTATCGTTAACTTTTCCTTCTGCAACCACATCCGTGCTCATTTTGCCCATAATTAATACTTTTTATTAACAAAATCTACTAAATTTTGTTTACACAACAATTCAGTGAACTGTCATCCGCAATTTGACTGCAAAACAAATGTAGAGTTACCATCCCTTTTTATAGATAATAACGTTATTTTACGGTCACGCTGATATTAAACACTTTAACTCATATGAATTATTAATAAATAATAAAAATGAACAAAAATTTGAATACGTATACCAGAGAATCTGACGCATACATTCGCAAAATTGCTTTAAAATACTTGTATGAGTAAAATTCTTACTAAATTTGTATAAAAATAGTTTTGTACATAATTATAACTAAAATTTGTATATTATAATTTTTTTGTACAAAGTTGTTATTTAATGCTTTATTTACAGGAATTTCTCAAACACACGAAACAAAACACAACAAGAGAAACGTCAAAATTAATATACAATGTATAATGTAAACGGTGCAGATTAACGTAATCCTATTTTCTTAATCTCACAATGTAAACGTAGTATAACACAGAATATATAATTGTAGTTAAAAGATCTCAATCTTTATTTTTTATATCTGTATTGAAAAATAAACAGCTGATAATTGCACAGATTTAGCTTAAAATGTGTTTAGAAGTAGTTTTATGTTTTAACTCTTGTAAATTTGTACATTTGCCGATTTTATTGCCTTGCATGCGTACCCTTACTTTAATAAAATCATGTATTTAAACTGATAATATAGATTTATTGTTAAAACTTCATTAATTAATTTCAAAATTAACAAAACTTCAGAAAAATGTGTAAACATAAAAGTCAAGTATGGCTTTGGGTCAGTTGGTTAAGGTGCGCTGACTCTAAGCTTTAAATTTGGCAGGACACGAGTTCGATTCCTGGTACTTGAAGTTCGTAAAAAATTATTTACGTTTGATTATATACAAGAATTATTTCCAAGATCACTGATGATGGGTATTTGGTAATACTTGAAACAACTGTATGTTCAGCCAAAAATTAAATTAATAAAAAAAATAATAGAAAAAGAATTTTTGTTGTTGTAGTTCAATACTTTTCGAAAAAAAACCTCTTTATTAAATTAATAAAATTTAAATTAAATTAAAATAAATAAATTAATAAATTAAAATAAATTACAATTATTTCGTATTTGTAAATCAATGCTTTTAAAATTGATTTTAAAATCTATTTAATAAGTGAATTTTGTGAGCTCGAGTAAACAATACACAAGAGGAACAATGTTTTTGTATTCATTGAGTATCTTTAAACAATTTACTGTCCCGCTACTGTTTATATATATGTATATATGTATAAACAGTAGCGTGAAACAGATGAGTACCTTTAACTATTTTACTGTAACGCTACTGTTTATATACATATGTATTTACGTATAAACAGTAGCGTTAAATAAATGAGTACCTTTAACCATTTTACTGTTCCGCTACTGTTTATGTATATGTATATACGTATAAACAGTAGCGTGAAATAGATGTGGTTGAACGAACGTCTGTATTAACCTACGGTCTTTAGTTATAAGAGCTTATAATAAGCTTTTGTTCATAGTTTCAACCGTTATATTTCTATATATGAAAAGTACTATAATTTTTCGGAATTTAATACCGAATATAGGACATGACAAAAACAGTTTTTGTTTATGTTAAATAATTTTGAACTTCTCTTGATTGTTTCTTAAATTGTTTATTTCTCTTAAAACGTTAACAGTTTTAACAGTTTAAAAATTAATCAGCAAACTGCTTCGTTGTGTTAAAAGATGCCAATTTAACATTACTGTTAACCGCTATGTTAAGTTAACAGCAGCTTTACGACTTTGTTGCTCGTGCAGCCTCGCAAAGTGTCAAAACAGACAACAAGTTGCAGTTTCCTTTTAACCACGTCAACAAGCGTTACATTCTAGTGAATCTTCTGTGTATTAATTGGGCCGACAAAGCAGACGGCGAAACTATTTGAGTTTTCACATACAAACAATGTTCCGCGTGATTTAAGTGCGTTTAAAGTGTGAATATAAAAAGGTTAAGAGTTTGTTGAGATTTCATGAATCCCTTCAAAGGATTATTTTTATTTTAAGTGGATTATGTTGAAGAGTTAGTGTACAATTTAATTTTGTTGCCCCGCATATGCTAAAGTGCGTGTATATATTTTAGTTACAAAAGCATGACACTATCTTTAAGGATGTTGCCTACGAGCATTTTCATATTCACAAATATACAAAAATATGACAAAAAACTATTGGAACTCAAAAACATTTCTGTAAAGTTCTCTGGAAGTGCATTGAATTTTTGTTCCTGCAGATGTACTTAATTTTCCTGTCTGTTATTAGATATCCTGTGCTTTTTCCAGCAAAGATTTTCATAGTTTTTGTGGGTATTAAGTACAGACAATAATAGAAAAAAATTGCCGTTAAATATATGGTGCAATGTCCTCGACTCAATATCCTCAACTAAGAAATAAGAAATAAATATATTAATATTT